GAGAATATATCAATCTTTTAGTCGTGTCAAGTCACATATTGTTTTTTTTCTAAATCAAATATTATAAATGCAATTAAATTATTTTGACACACTATGGTTATGTGATTCCTTATCAAATTAATCAGAGAGGTTTTTTTTTAAAATTAACATCATGAGAAACGAACTTGATTTTAATACTTAAATTATAATTTAAACTCATTAAATAAATTAATTATAACTAAAATTGATCAGTGTTTTACTATAGCTTGGATATTGTACATTGTGAATACCTTCTCTATAAATTATATTATTCGGTAGAGGCACGTATGAGAGTGTAGTCAGCAAGCCCTAAACATCAGACTAGAGGCATGCCCTTATAACCGCGAACACCTAGCGCTGGGTTGTCAAGCCTGAGCTTCAGACAGGCCGCATCCCAAGCTGTAGTAACTTGGCACTTGGTCTGCCCAGCCTTGGGCTCTTGGGTTGCCTATCTATGTGCTGGGCAGACCAAGCTTACATATGACACTTGAGTTAATACCTGTGTGGGAATTATTTTTATTTTTATTATAATTAATAAAATAATTAATAAATTTTTTTAACAATATATTATTATTAATATTGGAAACATATTATTATCTATATTGTAATTTTTATGATAATTTTTATAAAAAATAAAAAGTGAGTTCGCGGTGTAGTATTATTAAAAATATTCAACAATTATAAGTATTGATATGGAAAATATTATTATTTTTCTTATAATACAAAGTATTCATATAAAAAAAATATTATTATTTGTTCTCTAAATATTATTATTTTTTCTTATAATTCAAAGTATCTATACCAAAATATATTCATATCAAATATATTATTATTTGCACGGTAATATTATTGCTTTTATAATAATTCAAAATTTTAATATAAAAAATATTATTATTTGTATTATAAATATTCTTGAAATTAAAAATAGCATTATTTGTGTTATGAATACTATTATTTTTACTATAATCAAACGTATTAATATTAAAAATTTTATTTGTGTTGTAAATATTATTATTTTTATAATAATTAGTATTATTGATAAAATAATTACTAAATTATAAAAAAAATATTTGTAATATTGAAAAATAACTATAGATTTGATTTGAAAGGAAAAAAGAAAAAATATTATTATTGTTATAACCATCATCATCATTAATAAAATTTAAAAAACTGTTATTATCATTGAAGGAAAACTAAGTGGGGACAAGTTGCGCTTAAGCTACTGATGCGTGCTTGGTAGACCTTAGCATACACGTGGTGCTTGGGCTGCCTGCCTAGGAAATGAACACCTCAGCACACACGTGACACTTTAGTGGTGCTAGGAGGGAGTTATGCCCATGCCTTACTTGGAAACACCTGATGTTTAGATCATCACGTAGACCCATGGGGAATGGGTCCTGTGTCAGGACCCACGATTAATGGATCTTGTGTAAGGAGTTAATTCTACTAAATCCTTCATCAAGACCTAAGATTTCGAGTAGTAGGATTTCAAATATTATTATTTGTTTTATAATAATTATTATTTTTATTATAATTAATACCATTAATAATTTTTTTTAAAAACATATTATTGCTAATATTGAAAACATATTATTATTTATATTATAATTTTTTATGATATTTTTTATAAAAATAAAAAGTGAGTTGTAATGCAATATTATTAAAAACATTCACCAATTCTAAGTATTAATATAAAAAAATATTATAATTTGTGTTGTAAATATTTTTTACAGTACAAAGTATTCATATAAAAAAATATTATAATTTGTGTTATAAATGTTATTATTTTTCTTATAATTCAAAATATTTATATTAAAATATTATTATTTGTGTTATAAATATTTTTTTATAATTTAGCATATTTATATAAAAGATATTATTATTTGTGTTATAATATTATCATTTTTATAATATTTCAAAGTTTTAATATAAAAACATTATTATTTGTGTCCCGGATATTCTTGAAATTAAAAATAATATTATTTATGTTATGAATATTATTATTTTTACTATAATCAAAAGTATTAATATTAAAAATATTTTTTTTGGGTTATGAATATTATTATTTTTATAGTAATTAATATTACTAATAAAATAATTTCTAAATTAAAAAAATTATTCTTAATATTAAAATAACCCTAGACTTGGTTTTAAAGTTAAAATTAAAAATTATCATCATCATTATCAATAAATTTTTTAAAAATATTATTATAAAAAAAATTATGTGGGCACATATAACACTCAAGTTGATACTTGTATGCTAACAAATCAAGCACATATGTAATGGTGAGGCTCTTGCATTAGTGTTGGGCACATCCTTACATATACATGATGCTTTGGTTACCTGTTTGTGTGCTATATAAATCTCAATGTATATTTAGTATTTAAGCTATGCCAAAATTCAATTATCCCTAAATTCAACATATTACAAAACCAAAAATAAACTTGAATTCTACTTGCAAGCCCTAAATAATATTGAATCTTTCCAACACCAAAACTTAAATTTTATATAAAAATAAAAGTGAACCTGAAATGATTAATATTATCTTATTATTTAAAGTATGTTTGAGAATACTGTTATGATTATTTTTTAAAGTAGTTTTTATCTAGAAAAATATATCCAGCCAGGCTACCATTATGACGTGAGGACGAAGGAACATATACGATATAATAGACCGAATATAATGTCTTTATGCGTATAGTTTATTCCGATTTTTTTTTTACTTTCCAACAAAAACACATATAAAAGTCGTCCACCCGCTCTTTTTCCTTCTTTATTTATTCCTGATTTTAGGGCTTCTCTTCAACCCCGGTCCCCCCTGTCTTCTCTCTCCCGATCAAAATTTCCCAAATTCGATAATTTTTTAGGGTTTTCAAACGGATGCGCTGAATTCTCGTCATGACAACGCGATCCGGTGGCGCGTGAGTGCGCGACGACGGATATAATTCTGGAGGGTTAGTTCTTGTATGGAAACTCGTAGCCGGAAACGGGCGGAGGCCTCCTCATCTGCCGCCACCACCACCAGTCCCACTACTCGCCCCAGCAAACGATCCCGCACTGCCACAACAACAACCGCCACCGCTACTCGCTCTCGTTCCACACGTGCTCACCCTCTCCCCATGGACTCCACACCTGTCGAATCGTCTTCTTCTTCTCGCTCTCGTCGGAATAGGAATGATAATAGTAACAGTGAATCGGATAAAGGCAAAGAGAAAGAACATGAAGTTAGGGTTTCGCGTGAAAATAGGGAAATTAACAATAATTTGGATTCTGGAAATGACAATAATAACCTCAATGTCGACGACGATGACGACAGCGAAGGTGGTGGAATTGGTGCTTTCCATCATAATCTGACTTCAGCTAGTAGTGCCTTACAGGGTTTGTTGAGAAAGTTGGGTGCTGGTCTTGATGATTTGTTGCCTTCTCCCGTAACGGGTTCGGGTTCAAGCTCGCATCAATCGGGGAGATTGAAGAAGATTCTCTCTGGGTTGAGGGCTGATGGAGAAGAAGGGAAGCAAGTGGAAGCCTTGACGCAGCTCTGTGAAATGCTTTCTATTGGGACTGAAGAGAGCCTGAGCACTTTTTCCGTGGATTCTTTTGTTCCGATTCTTGTTGGGTTGTTGAATAATGAGAGTAATCCTGATATTATGTTGCTTGCTGCAAGGGCGATTACACATTTGTGTGATGTTTTGCCATCGTCTTGTGCTGCCGTTGTTCATTATGGCGCTGTTTCATGTTTTGTTGCAAGGTTGATTACTATTGAGTACATGGACCTTGCTGAACAGGTTAGTTTCTTGATTCCCCAATTTATTTTGCTTTTATCTGCCCGTAAAGTGATTGGCTATGGTTTATTTAAGTGGTTGGTTATTTGGTATTCATGGCAAATCCATTCTTTGAATACGTATACAATAATGATGGCTTATGAATGTATTAAATGGGTTAGTCATTTGGGATTTTATGTTTGATTAGCTATGCCAGTGTCTTGCTCTTAGTCAGTGGTAAAATTGCATTCTTTCTACACAGCATTATGACAATACTATTCAGATGGACTGCAATCAGCTGGTTCTATTTGCTGGTTTATTAGTGAAACTTACTGCTGTTTCTGTTGTAACGTGACAGTCTCTGCAAGCTCTAAAGAAAATATCTCAAGAGCACCCAACTGCATGTCTGCGTGCTGGTGCTCTTATGGCAGTGCTTTCTTATCTGGATTTTTTCTCTACTGGAGTTCAGGTAATTGATTTGCAGTTTTGTTTTTTAGTTAATAAGTTAATTTGACATGCAGAGATGCTAGGACCTTGTGGAGCAGTTCTCATTCTTATCGAGGCTCTTTTGATCAATGTCATGTTTTCAGCGAGTAGCATTATCAACTGCTGCAAATATGTGCAAGAAACTTCCTTCAGATGCAGCTGACTTTGTGATGGAAGCAGTTCCTCTGTTGACCAACCTTCTTCAGTACCACGATGCAAAGGTAATCTCGCTGTTTTCTCTTAGAGTTGCAGCCAATTCACCACCTTCTAGTTTATTCTGCACCCAAAGCAATTTGAACATTTGTAGGTCTTGGAGCATGCTTCAGTTTGTTTGACAAGGATTGCTGAAGCCTTTGCTTCATCACCAGACAAATTAGATGAATTGTGTAATCATGGACTTGTTGCTCAAGCTGCCTCTCTCATTTCCACCAGTAGTTCTGGAGGTGGACAGGCATCTCTCAATGCTCCAACATATACGGTAAAAGAAGTTTGTACCTTGTCCTTTAAGTTTTATGTCATGTATTTCGGCCTTTCTGACATAAGGCATTCAGGGCTTAATTCGCCTGCTATCCACATGTGCAAGTGGCTCTCCTTTAGGAGCCAAAACATTACTTCTACTTGGGGCCAGTGGCATTCTTAAAGACATACTATTAGGTTCTGCGGGTTGTGCTAACTCTGCTGTTCCCCCGGCTCTAAGTAGACCAGCAGATCAGGTACCTGCTTCTTCTTCTCCTTATTCTGTTTTGTGGTGCCATTGCATTCTTTTCACCATGAAGTTTTCCTAGGATTTAAAAATATTTGGCCTATTCAACAGTTTTAGAACTAAGTTCCAGCTTCATTTTTTTTGACGCTGCCATATAGGTTTTTGAGATTGTCAATCTGGCAAATGAGCTTCTTCCTCCACTTCCACAAGGAACTATCTCCCTCCCTACCAGCTCCAGTATGTTGGTCAAAGGATCTGTTGTGAAGAAGTCTCCATCCAGCAGTTCTGGGAAACAAGATGATAATAATGGAAATGTTCCTGAGGTTTCAGCTCGCGAGAAATTATTAAATGATCAACCAGAACTTCTGCAGCAATTTGGAATGGATCTTCTTCCTGTTCTGATACAGGTCGGTCAGTTTTTTAGTGGACTTTGCAGTGTATAAATTGCAAGATCTGTTTTGTGTTCACTGAAGTAGATAATAACGACATCATTTGCTTGTTGTTCAGATTTATGGTGCCAGTGTCAACAGTCCTGTTCGCCACAAATGTCTCTCAGTTATTGGGAAGTTGATGTACTTCAGCAATGCGGAGATGATTCAGTCTCTACTTAATGTGACAAACATACCAAGGTGAAGCAAATTTTGTCCATGCTTGTTCTTTTTATATACTCTCATCAGGGTTAGTCATATGACTATTTATCCATGTTATTTGTTACTCTAGTTTTCTAGCTGGGGTGTTAGCGTGGAAAGATCCACATGTCTTGGTTCCTGCCCTTCAAATTGCCAAGATTATTATGGAAAAACTTCCTGGGACTTTCTCCAAGATTTTTTTCAGAGAAGGTGTGGTTTATGCTGTAGATCAACTTATCTTAGCTGGAAGTCCAAATACTGGTCCTGCTCAAGCTGCATCTGCTGAGAAGGATAATGATTCTGTTCCTGGATCATCATCACGTTCCAGGCGTTACAAACGTCGCAGTGGGAATTCAAATCCTGAGGCAAATTCATCTGAAGAATCCAAGACTCAAGTTTGCGCAAATGCTGTATCACCTCCAAGTTCTTTAGAAATCCCAACCGTTAATTCTAATTTGCGTTTAGCAGTTAGTGCGTGTGCTAAAGATTTTAGAGATAAGCACTTTCCTTCGGATCCCGGCTCTACTGAAGTTGGGGTTACCGATGACCTTTTACACTTGAAAAATCTCTGCACAAAGTTGAATGCTGGTGTTGATGACCAAAAGACTAAAGCAAAGGGCAAATCAAAGGCTTCTGCTTCCCATCTTATTGACAATTCTGCTAACAGGGAAGAATACTTGAATGGGGTGATATCCGAGATGCTAGCAGAGCTAGGCAAGGGGGATGGTGTATCCACTTTTGAGTTTATTGGTAGTGGTGTTGTGGCAACCTTGCTAAATTATTTTTCTTGTGGCTATTTTACCAAGGAGAGAATTTCAGAAGCCAACCTACCCAAACTTCGGCAACAAGCACTGAGAAGATTTAAATCATTTGTTGCTCTGGCCCTTCCTTCCAGTATTGATGGAGGGGGTGCCACCTCCATGACAGTCTTAGTTCAGAAGCTTCAAAATGCTTTGTCATCCTTGGAGCGTTTTCCTGTTGTTCTTAGCCCTTCTTCTAGGTCATCTAATGGAGGTGCACGCCTGTCTTCTGGATTGAGTGCACTATCTCAACCTTTTAATTTACGTCTCTGTCGGGTCCAAGGGGAAAAGGGTCTCCGTGATTACTCTTCCAATGTTGTACTTATCGATCCATTAGCAAGTTTAGCTGCTGTAGAAGAATTTCTTTGGCCGCGAGTACAGCGAAATGAAACTGGCCAAAAGGTGTCTGAATCTGCAGGAAACTCAGAATCAGGGACCACACACCCTGGAGCTGGTGCATCATCCCCTTCTACCTCAACTCCTGCTACTGCCACTCGTCGTCATTCTTCAAGATCCCGATCATCTGTTAATATAGGAGATTCAGCTAGAAAGGAACCAATACCAGAGAAAAGCACAAGCTCATCAAAGGGAAAGGGGAAAGCTGTTTTGAAACCGGGTCAGGAGGAGACAAAAGGACCTCAAACTAGAAATGCTGCTCGTAGAAGAGCAGCCCTTGATAAAGATGCAGAATTGAAACCGGTGAATGGGGATTCTAGTTCTGAGGTATGTTATAATTCAAGGATACTATGATTAACTTGATTGTAAGTCTTAACTTGCATTATCATAAACTATTAGAATTCTAATATTTATTTTTCCTGTGAGGATGGCAGCCAGCTTTGTTGCTTTAGCCAAATAGACTAGTTTAATGAATCTCCTTGATAACTAAAAACTAGTTAGAAAGCAGTTCAACTTATTCTTTACATCAAGTTATGATAATGAGAGCACTGAATTTTAGGATTCTTAAAGAGTCCAGTTTTCTTGTTAGTAAGAAACTCTGCATTTGCATTGGATTGCGGTATGCATGAATCAAGTCCAGTGAGAAGTTCTAGGCTAAACTTTTCTCAAGAAAACTAGAGTTTTTAGAGTGCCACTTCATATTATAATTTGCAGATAATCTATTGATCATCCATACAAAACATATCATATATTTATTATTCTGACAGATGTTTTTCAAACAACTTTTTGAATGTTTTTTGTAGGATGAGGAATTGGATATTTCTCCTGTGGAGATTGATGATGCGTTGGTTATTGAAGATGATGACATCTCTGACGATGACGACCATGAAGATGTTAGTCTTCTGATTGCTTTGCCTTTGTTAATTATGTAACTTATATATTTTAAATTTCTTTCTTTATGCCTTGTGTTTGTCTGATTACAGCTCCTTTTGGATTGAGTTTTCATAGCCATGGTCTTGGAAAAGCAACAAAAACCATAGTTTTAATTGTATCAAAGTTTTAAAACCTTTTTGAAAAGATTATGAAAGATCTGAAAATCAGTTTTTTGCCTCAAAAACTGCTTTTTTGCAAACTCAACCTGTTGTTTGCTGTGTATTCACCACTTTCTAGATTTGATCATCTTTTCTCTCTCTCCCAGGTGCTAAGAGATGATTCTCTTCCTGTTTGCATGCCTGACAAAGTACATGATGTGAAATTGGGTGATACACCGGAGGATAGCAATGCTGCACCAGCAGCAAGTGACAGCCAAAGTAACCCTGCTTCTGGTTCTAGTAGCAGGGCTGCTGCTGTTAGGGGCTTGGATTCCACTGATTTTAGGAGCTCTTATGGATCTAGGGGAGCCATGTCTTTTGCTGCTGCTGCTATGGCTGGGCTTGGATCTGCTAATGGTAGAGGCATCAGAGGAGGAAGAGATCGACAAGGACGTCCCCTGTTTGGTTGCTCTAGTGACCCTCCTAAGTTGATCTTTACTGCTGGTGGGAAGCAGCTAAATAGGCATTTGACTATCTACCAGGCCATCCAGAGGCAACTTGTGCTGGAAGATGATGATGAAGACAGGTATGGTGGCAGCGACTTCATTTCTAGTGATGGGAGTAGGCTTTGGAGTGATATATATACCATTACATATCAAAGGGCAGATGGCCAAGCTGATAGGGCTTCTGTTGGAGGCTCAAGTTCTAGCACATCAAATTCCACCAAAGGTGGCTCTTCCAATTCAAACTCAGATGCTCAAATGCATCGGATGCCACTTTTAGATAGCATCTTGCAAGCAGAACTTCCTTGTGATCTAGAAAAATCTAATCCTACTTATAATATATTGGCTCTACTACGTATACTTGAGGCTTTGAACCAGCTTGCACCTCGTTTGAGAGTTCAACTAGTTTCTGACAACTTCTCTGAGGGGAAAATCTCTAGTTTGAATGAGTTGACTGCTACTGGTGCCAGGGTTCCTGCAGAAGAATTCGTAAATAGCAAGCTTACACCTAAATTAGCTCGACAAATTCAGGATGCCCTGGCACTGTGCAGCGGGAGCCTTCCATCATGGTGTTATCAGTTAACAAAAGCATGTCCATTCTTGTTCCCTTTTGAGACTCGGCGACAGTACTTCTATTCAACTGCTTTTGGATTATCTCGTGCGTTGTTTCGTCTTCAGCAGCTGCAGGGTGCAGATGGTCATGGGTCAACAAATGAAAGAGAGGTGAGGGTTGGAAGATTACAACGCCAGAAAGTTCGTGTTTCCCGAAACCGCATTTTGGATTCTGCTGTGAAAGTAATGGATATGTTTTCTAGTCAGAAGGCTGTGCTTGAAGTAGAATATTTTGGTGAGGTTGGTACTGGGTTGGGTCCTACCTTAGAGTTCTACACACTTTTGAGTCATGATCTACAGAAAGTTTCTCTGGGAATGTGGAGGTCAAATTCAGCAGCAGGGAAACCTTCAATGGAAATTGATGGAGATGATGAAAAAAATGGAAAATCCAACAATGGGTCAGGTACTGCAGTTGCTGCTGATCTTGTCCAAGCTCCACTTGGCCTGTTCCCTCGTCCTTGGCCACCAACCGTTGGTGCTTCTGAAGGGAGCCAATTTTATAAGACTATTGAGTATTTCCGGCTGGTTGGACGTGTGATGGCCAAAGCTCTTCAAGATGGACGGCTTTTGGACCTACCACTTTCAATGGCATTTTATAAACTTGTGCTTGGTCAAGTAGGCTATCAGACCTTTTTTTACTGCACATTAGCTATATTTTGGTGTCGCACTGTCAATCTTATTGGTTGAAATATCTATCCTCTTATCAATTGCAGGAGCTTGATCTGTATGATATTCTTTCGTTTGATGCTGAATTTGGGAAGACTTTACAAGAATTGCATGCCCTTGTTCGTCGAAAACAATATTTAGAATCAATAAGCAGTGAAAATAATGAGGTCAATGCTGATTTATGTTTTCGTGGGACCCCAATTAAAGATCTCTGCTTGGATTTTACCCTTCCTGGTTATCCAGACTACATGATGAAGCCAGGAGATGAAACTGTATAGAACCCTTCTTAACCTAAACATCTCTTTATAATTGGATGCAATATTTCTTGATGCAACTATCTTTTATTCTGATGATTTGTTTTCCTTGAAATTTTGTTAAAAGCTTCAGGTTGATATCCATAACTTGGAAGAATACATATCCTTGGTAGTTGATGCAACTGTGAAGACTGGGATCATGCGACAAATGGAAGCGTTTAGAGCTGGGTTCAATCAGGTCCAGTTCCATCTGTCCTTTATGAGCTCTGTAACTATTTTAGGAAATTGTTGTGCCTTGGATGTTAAGTTGATTTCTATAAATTTTAAGTTCTATGGAGTTTCCTGCATTATATATTTTGTTGTGGTCTGCCTTTTATGCTATTTACATATGCTGTTTCTGTAAAATCTATTATAACTGCCTTGATTTTTTGATGTCACATTCTGGTTTTATTATGTTTGTTCCAAACTCATTCTGGTTCTTGCTTAATAAGTAGGTTTTTGACATCTCATCATTGCAACTATTCACTCCGCAAGAATTGGATTATTTGCTTTGTGGGCGAAGAGAACTGTGGGAGGTAATTCACTCTCTTTTTGTTGTTTATGCATTATGATTCGGGGACTTTTTTCTTGATTATTTATTGGATGCTTTGACTGATGCAGCCTGATACACTTGTTGATCATATAAAATTTGATCATGGATACACTGCCAAGAGTCCAGCCATTGTTAACGTATGTTCTTTACTTTGATTTTTGAGGATCATGTTTGGGAGAATATGTATCTGTGTTTTTATTCTCGTCTGATGATTTTGGTGCTGTGGCCATGATGTTTTAGCTGCTTGAGATTATGGGAGAGTTCACACCAGAACAGCAGCGTGCTTTCTGCCAGTTTGTTACTGGAGCACCCAGGCTGCCACCTGGTGGTCTGGCTGTGCTAAACCCAAAATTAACCATTGTTAGAAAGGTATGCCTTGAAGCAGCGTGTTTATTACAATTTAATGTTCCATTTGCTGCATGCTATGCTGAATGTGCATAACGTTGTATAGTACTCTTCTGTCACTCTAGTTATACATGAATTCTATAGGCTCTTGTTACAAGGTCATTAAATGCCTTTTCAACTTTTATTTCCATAAATAGTATCATAAGATGAATTGTAAAATCATATGCATGCCAGAATAAATTAAGTGCGCACAGGTAAATTACATGTATGGATTTGTGAAATGATATGGTATGGAGTACTTGCAATACAATCAACATGGTGTTTTTTTTTTTTGGGTGGGGAATGATGCATGGGTATTGTTTCCTGATGCATCAACACATTGCTGTGTCAGATTTTTTTTTAATGGCATCTTCCTGTACATTTTATAATTAAAATCATCTTTTATTTGAAAATGATTGTCATCTATGTGTTGTAGTTGTCAAAACCGTCTTGAATTTTCTGTTGCTTCCTATAACAATAGCATTTCTGGGCGCAGCATTCTTCATCTGCTGGAAATGCAATGTTGAATGGAACTGGGCCTTCAGAATCAGCTGATGATGACTTGCCTAGTGTCATGACTTGTGCTAATTACCTAAAGCTACCACCTTACTCTACCAAGGTACTGTATTTGGTGATGAAAATGGACTTAATTATCTGGGATTTTTTACATCTTCTGGTGCTTACATTATCCGTGCTTTAAACAGGAAGTGATGTACAAGAAATTGCTGTATGCAATCAGTGAAGGGCAGGGATCTTTTGACTTGTCATGAGTTTTTTTGACGAGGCGATGGAATCTATTTATATTACATCACAAGAATCCCAGACTTTTTTCCTGGGATGCGTTTGAGATTGGAAGTGATGTTTATACCACTCAATAATAAGGCTTCCCTTTGGTGTTACTTTATACTGTGGTGTCATCAAGGTCAGCTCATAAATTTTTTGGGGGAGGCTCTAGTCAAATTTTGTTATTGGGCCTGGATATAACGTTTGCTTGGATAGCTCATCCATTTTTTCTCGATGATGGCCATGTATTTGCAGCTCATAGAAGATGTGCTCTGATTTTTATGAATCTGAAATTATTTTATTGACAGAATGTACTGGTTCCTTAAATTTGACGGTTAAAATTTTCAGGTTGCTTGCTGCATTTTCGTGCTGTAAAGGAGTAACACGTGGAGGCGTGTTCAGTTGCTAATTCTTGTAAATAAATAGAAAATTTTCAATTTTTTCTTCTTGTCCGATAGAATATACATGTATGTCAAGTAATGATGGAAATGGCAAAAATAAACATTGAATTATTGCTTTATTTTTACATGTATCTTGCAGGTTATTTTATACCATGAAATTGTAATACCTGTTCCTCTATGCATGAAACATGAGATAAACTGATATGAAGCAAAAAACATGATCCATCTTCTTTGATTGTAGGATGTTGTCTAGCTTTATTCATTCATGTCATTGTAGTTCCCACTCAATACGCCATTTAGAATTGTGAAAGTTCACCATGGACTCTTTTGATCTGAAGCTCCATGTCGGTAGGTCTTAAATGATGATCATAGAGGACGTACAATGCCCGTCCCTTAAGGTGGTTGTCCTTCCTCATCACTGTTTGACAATGCCTGGCCTTGTCGATTCCACCTTGTTTATCTAAATTGAATTTATCATCATTTTAATATATTTTTAAATGAAAAATAGTAGTTTTTATTTAATAATAGCTAATTCATGCTTCATCTCGGAGAATAGGCAAAATTTTGTATTGTTCTAATTTCTGAAAGGTTCGGTGTTTGAGTTTCCAATTGTAAATATTTAGATCGAGGAACTAAATCAGAGTCTAGAAAATTATTCTATAAAAACTCAAGTTTCGTGTTCATCTTTTTAAATAATTCACATCTGAACATATGTTTTTACAAGAAGATATTAAACAACACCTTTTGATTCTACTTTCAATAAGATTTATATTGCAAATAAGAAATAATCTTCCCATGCTAGATTGTTTACACTACCACTTCATCCTCTGAAAACTGCTGTGTCCCTAGAAGTATACTCTGATGTATAATGGGTGGATGTCCATGACGTCAAATTATCGGCCCAGTAAAAAGTAAGATCAAACGATAATCCTCAGATATTTTAGATCACAAAGGCAAAACAACTTGCAATGAAAGTGTCTAATATTGATGGTGATTGGTTGTTGCATTATTTGGAAATATATGCATTGATTTTCTCCGCTACAATCTCCATTCTTGAAAGTTGATTGTAGAAGGAAAGGGTTGATGGGATCTGTAGCTTTGGGGGATTGGGACACCAAGAATGAGTGGTCGCGTTTTCAACAACGCCATTGCCTTTTATATGGTAACCGAAGTTTATTGTAGATATGCAGAAAAAATTATATATTTATTTTATGGTGTTTTCAATGTTGATAAATAAATAGGTTTTGCTCTACATATTTGGTCTAGGTTTGAAAAGCCTTATTGGCTGGCTGGCTAGCTATACAAGGAGGACCCCAGGCAGCAGGTGACCAATTGTAGCTTTGGATGCGTTGGCATGTATTGTTGAGACATTCGACAGGAGCTTCTGGAGTGCATCTAACGACGTCTGAACCGCAGTCCTCCGTTTTTTCGCATGGAGTCCACTTGCTGCTTTTATCACACTTGGGAATCACCTGCAAAATACAAATTTCATTTAGTTCTGTTTATTCGTGGGAAAATAGATTTGTTTTAGAAAATAGTTTTTTTAAAAGTAAAATTTTTAAAAATAAATTATTTTTTGATGTTTGATAGTAACATAAAAAATAAATTAAAAATAATTTCCAGTATTTAGTTATATTATAAAAAATAAGCTAAAAAATAGTTTATTAATGTTTTTTTTTAAGTTTATTAAAATAATAAAGAATAAATCTTATAAATTTAAAAGTTGAATGAGAATGAAATTAAAAAAAAATTTAATTTTATAAATTATCTTAAATAAAATAAATAATAATCAAAACAATGAACATCAAATTTAACAGATAAAAAAAATTAAAAGATGATAAAATAAAAATAAAAATAATTATAATTTTATAAATTATTTCAAATAAAATAAATAACAATCAAAAGAATGAGGACCAAATTTAATAGATAAAAAATTTTAATTAAAAAAATAATAAGAGAAAAGCAAATAAAAATCATAAAAATAAGAATCAAAGTTAATATAAAAAACAAATTAAATTAAATTTTAAAGAATGAAATTAAAATAAAAAACATTCAAACAAAATATATATTAATGAAAAGTTTGAGGACCAAATTTGATATAATCAGCAAATAATATAATATTTCTAATTTTTTCACAACTTTTAGAAAGTGTTTTCCATCCAAAATAAAAAGAAATATTTTTTGAAAATCAAACTAAATCTTTCTTTGATTAAAAAAATTATTTTATTAATAAATTTTTCTAATAAAAAACAAATATAAAAAATATAAAAAATAATTTTTTAAAAATAATTTTCTAAGCAAATAAACACGCAATTAATTACCAGTCGTTTCCTTGCATCAAACAAGGACTGGTGCTGTATTATAAGAGAGATAGAGAGACTAACCATGCTACGAGCAAAGGCAACGCAACAAATGCCATCTTGGAATAAGTCTTCTCCATAGTTTTCCCTTTTCGTCTAATCTGTTGCTATGAACGAGTAAGGGTTTTCGATTTTCTATGCAAGAAATAAACCTGCTTTAACATGTATTTATAGACGGGGCAAGGACGAAGAAATTCATGGAACATGATGAGATGCCAAAAGAAAACAAGGAATATGAAATTGGCTTCAATGCAAGTTTTCTTCGTATTAGATAATTTCCACCCCAAACATACATACAGACGATCTTTCTACGCAGGAGAGAGCTGTGAAAGATGATCTGGCTTCGCATCTAGATTTACAAAGCATCTCTGTTCTGCATCCATAACTGTGTGTGTAAACCTTCTGGTAGTGAAAATAGAACTTTATTTAAACAAAAAACAACCCACTATTTGTGAAAGCAAAATGTCAACTGAGAAATGATTAATAAATTGGACATACATACAATTCTATGTGTAAATCCAAATTTATTCTCCGCGGTAAATCTTTGAATTTCTGTAGGTTTAATTTTGGATGCCTTTTGGAATCTTAAGCAGAAATGTATTGAAGTTAAGATGCTCATTTTCTGTTAGTCCTTATCATTGTTCACTAATGACAACGCTGGCGAAATTTAATGAGTTATATGCAAATAATTTTATTTTTTGGTGCAATGACTTGATGATGCTAACCCCAAATAATTACTGGCAGTGTATTAATCTGCTGCATGGACTAAAATCAAAATCTTGCCAATCATTTCCGGAGTAGGAGGCAACGTATTTTGTTCAAGAACATCCCTATGCCCTCAATGCATGCACCAAGTGTGCTTCCGACATTATAAGGTTCAATCATATGCCATTGGTTTCTGATGGAAAAGGATTATGTTTGATATTTTTTATTTCCAAATGGCATAGCCTTCTGCTTTTCTGCAGCTATTGAAGATTTTTTAAACTCATCAAGAAGATTCAAATTTATGTTGGAGCTCATAATCTAACATATGAAAGGGAAATTTATTCAGATGGAAAGAAAGCTAGAATTTTTAAGAAAGAAGATGTTCAAGATTACATGTCATTGAAACCACAATAAAATTGTTCTAGGCTTATGATGTTTAAGCCTGGTTTGCAGAACGCTTGGGACCCTTGTTGCTGCACTTCACTTGAACGGCCAGATTCTTGGTCAAATTTGGACAGTTGTCTTTCTTTCCGTTAAAAAGCCCTTTGTCCATTGGAATATCACAGATAGTTTTTCCCAAGCAATGCTGCTCAAATTCAAGCAGAAATCTCATTAGTCTCTTGGCAGGCAGCAATAGCCCTGGCTGGCAGAAGAAAAAGAAAAAGGAAACAATAAATTATGCAAGGGGAAAGAAGAGAAGAGAATTACCTGCTCAACAACTTGCTTGGAAATAGGTGAATCACAAGTTCCAACAGCAAAGTTTCCACAGGTACCCGAAGGATCACCAAAGCTTGCAAACTGCACGGTAACAATCTTCTTCTTGTTTGGACACTTTAAGCGAGCTGCTGGTTTTGCATCATCCGCAACAGGTGTGAATTTACTATTCTTCCTTTCCCAGGATCTCACATTTGGTGGATGATGTTCAGTCACGTAGCTACAGATTGTATCTCTATTGACAGTTAGGATCTCAATCTTCTCAGGGCTTGCTTCCTCCTCCTCCAATATAACCATAAGGTTGTTTGTTGGTTTTAAGGAATATCTTGGGATGTGATATCTGATTTTACAAGCAAGAAATTTTAGTCAATCTCTTTATTTGCTTCGTACTTAAAGAAAATTTTCTGTGCGTGACTAAGAAATATTGCTTTACTTACTCTGATTGAGTAGGCTCTCCAAGAGGGGAGATGTAATTCATCCAGTAACGACCGATGCTCTTGCCATTGATCCAAATCGTACCCTTCTTCATACCGGTCATCCGAACAGCAACAGGGGATTTTCCTTCAGGAGCATCAAAGCGAGTCTGCAACAAGAAAATATGATGCCTAAATGAATACCAAGAATTAAACAAGTTTGTTGCCAGGTGATACCTCACTGAGAAATTTAAAGATTGGTGGCTAGGGAAAATGCTATCCCAGCGTTACCTTGTACCAAGTAACAGGAGGTCCGTCCTTATTGACTTTGGTCCATGTTACCTTGCTCCCCCCTTCCTTCGTGAACACTTTAGCTGTCTCTCCCGACAGGGCAACCTACAGATTAGGATCACACGATTCATTGAAGTGTTATTCTTGAAGTGTTATTCTTTGATGAATACAAGGCTCATCCATACCTGATGTCCCCAACCATTGGATGACAGATCAAGTGTTCCAGTGTTCAAACCTAGGATTGAGACACCGCGAGGTCCAGCGTACCTATGCTCCATGTAGGCTCCGCTATCCTTCATTGACAAAGAAGAGCTTGCATAAGTTTCACGTCCAAAATTCATTCCCAAATTCTGAAGATCTGTTAGTTATGACGTATGATAACTACTTACTGGGAGTCCAACGAGAGAGCCCAAGAGTGTAACAAAATTAATCCCAGGCTTCAACTTCGCAGAATGCTGGAGGACAAAGCTCTTCTCAATTTGGCTCCCATGTGCAGAACCTGAAAATATTTTGCACAGTTACCTAATAAAATCCTGTTACTAAACTTGTTCCAAAGCTATGATAATAAGAATGTGTAAGTTGTAACTACCTATAAATTCCCCATTTATGAAAGCAACCATTGCATGGCCAAGACTTGCAACTCTTAAA